CATATTCATCAATCTGCTGACAAGCGTTTATCATTTAACTATCACTTAATGCAGGAATAAATTGCAGACATTTTTATGTGTGCATGCATTTTGGTTGTATTAATATTGATGCCAATTCAAATCAAATGTCCTTGTACCGTATTTTCACGACTATAAGGCGCACTTAAACGTCTTTTTTTTCCCTCAAAATGTGCGGTGCGCCCAATGGTGCGGTGCGCCCTATGTGTGTTGTAACTGCGACTTTTGAGACCACCCCATTGAGGAGATTATGAAAGAGTGGCTGAATGTAAGGAGACCAGGTGTTTTTTTTTCCACTCATCACCATCGCTGTTAATATGTGACTCCATGCGTGCCCATCTCACAGCTGATGTGAAAAACATGGGGGAACAAATTAACGCTGTGCTCGCTGTTCAACCGCTCGACATCGGTGTGAACCGGACCCAGCAGGTGCAGCAGAAGCAGCGAGTTTACATGCAAAGTCAATGGTTGACGCGCGTATAGGTGCAGCAAAAGGTCCCGCAGCCTTTAAGCATCTAACGCACCGCCAACGCGCTGCTGCTGCTCGAGATGGAAAAATTGAAGTTTTGCTGCTGGACGCGCCGCATCAACCAATCAGAGAAGCTGATCTGGGAGCTGACAGCGAGACAGACACAGCGCTCTGATGACATATGATATTAACGCAAAGAAAAGGGCTGGATGGATGAGGAGATGATGAAAGAGTGGCTGAGGGAGGTGTATGTGAGGAGAACAGGTGTTTTTTTCCACGCATCACCATCGCGGTTAATCTGTGACTCCATGCGTGCCCATCTCACAGCTGATGAGAAAAACATGGTGAATCAAATGGATGCTGTGCTCGCCGTTATCCCGGGAGGTCTGACAAAGGAACTTCAACCGCTCAACATCGGTGTGAAGCGGCCGTTCAGAGTAAGGCTGCGAGCGGCGTGGGAGCGATGGATGACCGACAGAGACCACAGTTTCAGGATAAGTGGAACGCAGCGCCGGGCAAGTTATGCCACCGTTTGCGGATGGATTGTAGATGGACTAACGTGTCTGCTGGCTCTGTTGTTCAAGCTTTCGCAAAAGCCGGCATTATTTCTGAGGAGCCGCGCTGCACGGAAAGTGACTCTGACAGCGAAGATGGGAAACTGGCATGTCTGATTTAGCGCAGCTGTTTAATTCAGAAACAGAGGATGATGACTTTGATGGGTTTGATTACTACTCTGTAATAAATACATTAATAAAGCACAATCATACTCAGTTTTGCTCCCGCTCTATTTTTCTACCTGAAAACTTAATTCAACAGCAGCCTCTGGGCGGGTCTCCTCCTCTTCACCGCGGTGGCTGGCAGGTGTTTTTTCATCTAAATAATCTAAATCTTGCAGCTATATTTGCTGTGATCAGTGGGAATAAAGTAGTTTTAATATGTTTTTAAGTGAGAAAGTCCACCTGAAAACTTCATAATTGAAGTCAGTTCATACAGATTATCTATTTCTGTCGGAGGCGCTCAGACCCCCACATACCAGCGGTGCACCGACAGCAGAAATCCCTTCATCAGCAGCCTCTAGCCTGGGCAGCCTCCAGGTTCACCGCGGCTGCTGGCAGGTGTTTTTCATCTAAATAATTTTAGCTGCAGGCACCAGGATACCGGTAATAAAAGCGAACAAATTCCGTCGGCAGGTTTCATGATTTTAAGTTAATTTAGGAGTGATCACAGCGCTGTGTCATCTGCGATGTGTTTGTCTCATGGCCAGCACCCAGGTTTGATTAATAGTTTGTAATAAATACATAAATAAAGCACAGTCATACTCAGTTTTGCCCCCGCTGTATTTTTAAATACGCAGTAGAGGTATTTAAAGGTAGTAGAGGACATTTACTTGTATATAAAAAAATGCGCCCTATAGTCCGGTGCGCCTTATGTGTGTGTTAAATACAGAAATGGGACACATAACTGAGAGTGCGCCTTTTAGTACGGTGCGCCTTATGGTCGTGAAAATACGGTAATAGTAATGTGCAGATAAACAGAGCAGCATTTTATGTCACCAAATAAAGACATTGGGAGTTTGCATCCCTGCAGTGGTTCCCCTAGCAATGTTGTGTATGAAAATCTAGGTTAAAGTTGTTCTGAATTATGAGTGGCATATTATTTTTATTTTGTCTTATCCTGATAAATAGCTTCAGTTAGTTTTAGCATTTAGCATACATGTGTAGCTGCCGAGGTGTTTTGTGTTAACTATAGTTCACTTGCAGCTCCTAGATTACCTAAAACGTCTGTCAGCTTTAATCAAACTTGCAATTTAACTGAAACTATAGTTGCCCGGCCAGTATAACATATCTAAGTTAGCATAAATTTAACTTCACATTCAGTTCTATAAACTAGTGGCTACGGTGGCTACGTGCTAACAAGCTAACGTAATGTAGCCAGCCTGGATACTAAATGCTATGAAAGTTAGCCAACATTAGTTAGTTTATCATTGGGACATTATAGCCGTTGATTTAATGTTACATTATAAACAATCACCACCTGTCTTTCTGGTGAACTGCGACGTGTCTCTTCAGGTTTGTTGTGTTTTTTCCAGCTATCATGTGGCCACATTCCTTCCCTTCCACTAAAATCAAGCATTTGGTTTTGTTCTCCACTTCAATGAAGTGAAAATGTGTCCATAGATCATGTCTCCTCTTTCTCCCGAGCTCCGGGCAAAGCATGTTTTACTTTTAACCTGTCGCCGCCTCGCCTCTGTGTCCGCCCGCTCCAGGTTTGAAAGTGGGTGTGTGGCGGAGGAGAAAGGATTTGAAAAAAAACCCATTAAATAATATGTCATTTTCGTCTCGTCTTTGTTCGTGAACTAAAACGTCCATAGATTTGAATGACGTTGCATGAACCCCCCTCCCTCCCTCTAACCTGACAACAGCCAGATGCATGTCTCACTCCGCCTAGCTCCACTCACATGTATGTGAGTGAAGCTAGGCGGAGCGAGACATGCATCTGGCTGTTGTCAGGTTACCCTCCCTCTGGGATTCCCAATGGATTGCAGATGCCACACACGCACACAAAATGACAGAAAGATCTGAGCTGATGAAAGCAAAGAGGCCTGATGAGACCGATTCATTCAGTCGCTGAGGACGTTTTTATAACCTAGAAATGATCCATGAGCACGCAACCGATCGAATGGACGGATGGTCCACGGACCTTTGTTGATTCAGTTATTTGTTTTGCCAAAAAGATTAATTATAATCATTTTTCATTAAATAATAGAGATGCAGATAAATAGAAATAAACAGTTCTCAGATAAGATCGGAGGTGTATGAAATAAGATAATGCAGTCACTATGTTAAATTAATGAATTAACTGTATTTTAATCAAAAACATCATATCATCATAAGATTTTGGTTGTTTATGCAAATGGTCTCAATAAACTTTTCAGTTGACTGCAGGCCCACAAACACGGCAGAGCTCCCAAGTGCTGCCTGGTGGTTGTCCGGGTACATTGCAGTTCTTTTTGGAAAAAAAAATAAAAAATACTGGCCTCAGGAAATACATTGTGATTCACTCAGGAATCACACAGGAAACCGTCCATTTCCAACCAGTGCCCACTGTAACAGAACTGAGGGTCCAGTCTTTATTTCACACTCAAACTTTGTAGTATGAAAAAATGTCTACTTTAAAAAACACATTTTTCCCTCAAACCTTTGAGTCCTCTAGACCTTCTGATAGTGCAGTCTTCTGAATCATGCAAGGCCAGTGGTTACCAAACTTTACATGTTTGGCCACCCCTTTGTTTTATAACAAAAAATTAAACAACCAAAAGTAAACTTCAGTAAATCATACTGATATGAAATAATTTATTTTCATAACACAAAACTGTGATGCTTATTTGAATGAGGAATAGAATTCCACACTGCCCTCTATAAATGTTTTCTTTTCAATATATATTTAAATTTTCACCTCAAAATCAGTTATTTAGCTACTTAATTTCCCCCTCTGCCATTACAGAGTTCCCCGTAAGGGGTGTGCTCCCATATTTGGGAACCACTGGTTTGGTATGGCAGTTGGGCTGAAAACGCAACATAATCGATCACAAGGATATTATTGATGTTATACATTTCCAAGGTACTGAAAACATTGTAATCTCACTTTATTAAAACACAAAAGTACATTTTTTACCATTTTTTTTTACAATTGAAAACAATTACATTTAAATCAAAATATATCAGTTCAAACATCTGAAGACACTTTTACCTTTAGACTTTTCTAGCTTGATAGGAATGCAATTGTTTACTGCTGAGGATCTTAGAAAAAAACAATAGCATTCAGGATAGTTAGAATCCAGTTTTGATAACAAAAGCAACTAAATGTCTGCAGAACCTGTAGATTATGAACGTTAGTTTGGGCCAGTCATATTTCCGGGTTAGATCGTACTAATAATTACTGCAAAAGTCATTTTTATAAGATATAAATTTTTAAAAATAATAAAACAAAAAACAAACAATATGGCACTTTATCCTTACTTAGTTCAGCAGGTCTACAAATTAGAGTATTTAGATGATCCAAAATGGTAGAAGATCAGCTGAAACATTCAAAGTAGGACAATGTACAGCCAATGCTGGGAATGATTACATTAGTAGGAGCTGGGACTTTCTAGCTAAAGTTATATAAAATGCAACAGCTTATTTATATGAAGTATGAAGGAATTTGGACATATTACCAAGAAGTTATGAGCCCATATTTCATTAATGTTCACACCACTGCATGATTAAAAAGCCAACCTTAAAAACTCGCCTCTAACAGTGCGATTATAGGGAACTGTCAGATACTTTTACCGTCTGTTACATGAAACTGTTTAATTTGCTAAAGAAAAGTAGCTTACTGTAAATGACCGATGATTTTTGAGAGAAATCTTGTGGGTCCTTTATCTTTGGGTTCAGCAGCCTCCTGCTGTGAGTGTTCATAAAGAGACAACACTGAGACATTGAGGCAGAACTACAGTCAGAAAACTACCAGCTGGTAATTGAGTATTTAATGCAAAAAGGCAGACATCCAACAGGCTGATCATCCAATCACTCGTCCGATCGTCCATCGAGGTTTGGCCTTCGCACTCTTTCGTAGAAGAGCATGTACGCGTTGGAAGACAGCACCTCCTGCAGGTTGGCTTTCCGCACAGAATCGTCTGACACCCAAAGCCACTGAGAGCTGAACGGCGAGGTGCTGCAGGGTGGGGCGGGGCTTCGACGATAGGTGACAAAATGTCCCGAGTGCATGTCACCATGGTGAACCAACACTGCCGTCAGCTTGAATAAATACTCTGTGGAGCTGAAGGAAACACACCATCACACATTGCTTTCACTATGAAACTATCTGCACGTCCAACCTGACAGCAATGGATGATATCTCCACTTTCTTTACGACCATCTCCAAAAACATCACACTTAATAGTCTACTGCAGATGTAATGGCTTTTTATATGTGGAAACTAGTGGGGCTTACTACATAAAATAAAACATTTAAATACAAACTGCAGTTGTTGGGTCATTTATTACTGTTAATTTTTTTTTTTATTTCAACTTCTGACTTCATAAAAAAAAAAAAAAGTATCCGACAAGCTTGATGGACCATAGTTTGATTCCACAATAGGGAGTGCTGTATTTTTTTCTAAATCTTCCCACTAAGGTACAAAAAAGAACACATCTTTTCATTAAAAGTGACCTATAAACAAAAATGTGTTTGCATTCAAAGGTTCTGCTTCCTCTTGATGTCTGAGCAAACCTTCTCCTCGTTTTAACACTTCTATGAACGGCTGCTGCTAAATATACCTGAATTCATACGTGAAGCCGCGCTGTGGATTCAAACCAGGGGAGAGAAGAAATACGGAGGAACAGGTTCCATTAGAAAAAGGTTTGTTGTTGTTATGATGTTCTGCATCTGAAAGAGAAAAAAAAAAGTCCAGTCTGTAGGGAGAAAAGAAAATGGCAATAAAAGATCTGCCGATTCCAACTCACCTGTCCCATTAGCTCTAAGCCTTTCTGTGGACTCTTCTGTGTCCAAACTTTCTGTCTTTTTGGCTTTATGGGCCAATGTGAACCGCTGACTCCTCTGTGTGGAGTTGTGTTTATAACGATCCATTGATAGATACTCTGTGAAGTGGACATGCTCCTGCCGCTTGATGGGGGTTCCTTCGCTGGACCATGTCAGTCTTTGCAGATGGATACAGAGGCACTGAGGGAGCTACAGGAGCATATGGAGAAAAGGGCTGCATTGATTTCCTCTAAAAATAACTAAACTAAAAATATTTAGTTAATAAAAATATTAAACGTTTTATGCAGGCTAGTTTTCTTCAGTTTTTTTCTCCTTATTTTTGCCTTTTTTTTAAATAAATAAATTAGTACCTTTCCAAGTTTCAGCTGTTTGACAAATGTCGTCCTCTGGCTTTCGAAAATTTGCCCGTTTCTCGTTGTGCTTTGTTGAATCTTAAGAACAAAGTAAAGACAATACAGATAAAGGGACAATCAGGACACTTCGCATCTTCTGAGGAAAAGGTTTTTGTTTTTTTACAGCTACAAAAACAGACATACCTTTGTACAGTTTTCACACTCCACCTCTTTGATTGTTTCCGATGAAATAAAATGCTGCAAACACTGATCTAGAGAGAGAGGCCGACCCTGTGAAGAAATGTGAATAGAAAAAAAACTGTTACTGTTAAAGGCTGCAGTGCCTTTCAAAATCATTAAGAGCTAGAACTTTTCCACATTCCGTCACATTAATGTCAAACTTTAGGGTTTTTATTGGACTTCTTTGTGATAGATCAACAAAAGCTAATCCATAATCAGTGTTGTGCTAGTTACTGAAAAGCAGTAACTAGTTTCTGTTACCAGTTACTTCATTTCAAAAGTAACTTAGTTACTAACTCAGTTACACCATAAGGTAATGCGTTACTGTGAAAAGTAACTAGTTACTTTTTTTTTTAAAGGTTCACATTATGCCCTTATAGCCTTCAGAAATGTTATTGCACTGGAGAATAATACCATCTGTTGAAGAACTTGACATGCATTTGCATCATGACTCTGCTAAGCAATTCTATATACAAGCAACAAAGATATGTTTCAAAGTGCCAATTTATTTCAGGGCAGAACAAACTGACAATGCTACATAGTAGGTAGTTGCCTGCAAAATTGCCCTTTAAAGCAGGTGGCCTGCTATAATTTGTTCCCCCCTTGTAACTTTAAGAAGCAAAGGTCATTCACCTCCAAAGTTTCAGGAACAAATTGTCATCATAAAAGATGCTTATAAGCCAAAAATGAAAAAGCTGGGACCTTTTTTGTCTGATTTAGACAGGGGGAACAGATTACAGCAGGTTTTATTTCATCCCATATTGCCAATTCTGGCAATATGGGATGAAATAAAACGGCTGATGTTAGAACACAAACTGTTTATTAGGGATAGTACAATAGTGATAAACTGTAAGTTAATATAAACACAAATATAGATTTAAGTACTAAATTTCAAACAGGAAAAAATAATTTCCTTCTGCATATAGTCTTTAATGATTACACATCCAGTCCATTTTCTATTTCATTTTTATTACAAGTATATGGTTTACAACAGTTTTCAATGGGATGAGAACATTTGGACACTGTGAAACAATGAGAGATTTTTTTTAAGGAACATGTGGAAAAGAACAAGGATCTGTTTGCTTTCAGAGGAAGGAGTTGACACTGCTGTCAGCGACCAGCTTTCAAGCAAACGTTTGTGTTTTATTATTAGTTTTAAATCAGTATCACTGGCGATATTCTGCTATAACATGTGAAGTAAAGAATAAAACAGTAAAGCTCAACTTTCATACACGTAAAACCTTTTAAATTTGAGGCGGAGTTAACTCTGGTTGTTCGTCCTACTCCGTGCGCGCTCCCGACGAGGGGATATAAATTTTCACAGGGATAACTACCTTGGCACGACACCGGTAGCTTCTAGCTTCATCGCAGCATATTGCTTTTGTAGGTGTTTCAACAGATTACAGTTGCTGTTTTGGGCTGTAGATAGAATCTTTGATCCAAGGCACAAATTACATTTAACCAAAATGTTCCTTTCTTTTTTCTCAACAAAAGTAAATTAATGAGAATATCTCCAAGTGAAGAAACTCGACTTGGGCTCTGCAGCAGCCGCCATGATGACTAGTGTTGGTAAACACAAACACGCCCTCAGCATGTTTCCTTCCTGTCTCTCTCTCTCTAACACAGGAAGACAATACTTCACTGCAGCTTTTAAGTCTCTAGCTGATCCCGAGACTATAAAATAACGCAGTAACGCATCATGTAGTAATGTTAACGGAGTTACTGAATTTAAAAACTAACGCGTTAACGTACTAGTTAGTGAAAAAAAACCCGCTGTTACTTTGTAAAGCGTTAGTCCCAACACTGTCCATAATTGTGAAGAAAAATAAAAAAGAATAAATGATTTTATAAAAGTAGTTAATAATAATCTCTGGAGTGTCCAGACCCTTTGAGTAGAAGCTATTTTCCTTGGGGTTTGTTTCAACAAACGGATGCAGAAAAGCTGGAGCTCCATCAGACTGAATGGGAAGCTTTCATCTAAACTGTCTGGCTAGGAGCTTAGAGCCCTTTTTCTTCTGTCTTCTAAGGTCTTTTACGGCCCCTAATATGTGCCTCGGTACCGTAATGGAACATTGTGACTTAGCCCAAAAAAATAAAAGACATGGGAACAATTATTTTAAATACAAGAGGCCTTATATTATTTATACAAGGCTTTTATGTTCTTTAGTTTACAAATTCTGTCTTTTTTTTCAGAAGTATAACATTAAAAAAAACATTAACTGACTATATTTTTGTAAATATAAAGAAAATGGTTTTAAGTTTTTTTTAAATTCAGCTATTAAAAAACGACAGTGTTCTTTAGATGAAAAGGGGGTCATAGAGGTATTTCGGCTCTAGAGGAACTTAATTAATAACATGGAAAAAAATTGCTATTTGGGATGTTGGTTGATACCCTCGGCTCTAACAGGGTTTGTGTCATTGAGCTCTAGCTACCTAACCACTAGCTCACTACTGAGGTGTCCCCACTGCATGATGCTGCCACCTCCATGTTACACCATGGGAAGGCTGTGCTCAGGGTGTAGTGAAGTAGAGGGTTTCCTCTACATGCTGCATCTTGCATGAAGACTAATAAGTTTGATTTTGGTCTTATCTAACTAAAGTGCCCTCTTTAACAGGTTTGCTTTACCCACTACATGGCTTTAGCTGCTTCTAACGTAAGCTCTCCATATCTGCTCTGTCAAAGCAGATAGGTGTGCAATTGTGTTTTATCGCTGCTTTAAACTTCGCTACAGCTTTATTGCTGATTTGTCTGCCGCGGTTATTAGTCGTCATTATCCTCTTTGTTCACTTATGTTTTCTAACAAAACTCTGAAGCCTTTATGTAACAGATGGAGTCAAAGTGACTGATGTTAACGGGCTGCACTGGGCTAATAGATTTGGATATGTAAAGAGACTTTTATATCCCTTTCGTTCCATTTTACAATAAGGCTGTCAGGTCTTTGATTGTAACCTGACATAGATAAAGGCTCAAAGAGAGTAAAATGCCTTAAAAATAAAGTGTGCAATAAAATAAAGACTAACTTTGATACCCCTGGCATTTTTAGCTTACCCACTGAGGAAGAGGGATGGACAGAGAGAGGCTCTCAAATGAGTCGTATCGTACTGGACTCTATAAATTAAAGCAGATACCATTGAGGTGTTATTCAAACAATAACAAAAGCTGGAAAGTAACTTTTGTTGTATATGTTTAAAAGAAACTCACCTGAATTTCACAGCGCTTGCACGACATGTTGCTCGTTAGACGACCGTGAAAGGGATGCTGGAATTTCCAGGGACCCGGGATCGGATGAAGAGGAGCTGCTATGGAAAAGTAAAACACAAATGAAAGACATTCAGTGCTGGTTTTCTAAATAAGGCCTCTTGACTTGTATCTTTATACATACCTCTGCTTATGCAGGCAAAAGCTTTGGCATCTTCATCAGGAAGAGACTAGAAACACAATAAACACAAAATAAGTAAGTGTAAGGGCTTTTTAACAGGAAACCTCAAGGTATGCATGTGGATCTGTGAACGGTGTAGGAATACAAGCGCAAGCAAAGAGACATTTGTGTTTTAAATTTTGCAGTTTGGGATCAGCAGTGGGTGTGGAGAGAACTTGCCTCAAGGGACTGCATATCAAACAGATGTGTGACTTTGGGTTGCCTGTTTCTCTCCTCCTCTAGTGAAGATGTGAGGACATGAAAAAGTTCATGTGCATCCTTAAGAGGGGAGAAACCACATCCAATTAATATAGAGGACAATAAACTAAGATTGGGCAGTTTACACCGGATGCTATATTCATTTGTGAATTTGGTACAAAAGTACCAAAAAGGTGTTGCCTAACACCAAGCTTATTGTGCCGAACCCTAATTTCCAAACCATCTAACAATCAATACTTACCGGTAACTGAAACTCCATTCTTACAATTATACAGGAATTTAACATCATCTCAAACTTCATGTTTTCATTTGGTAAAAACTGAAATTTTAATCATACATTAAATTACAGTTTGGAAAGACCATTCCACAACCTTAGCCCTTTAAAAGCAATAATATTCATTTTAACCTTCGTTCTGACATGCTTTCTAATCTCAGAACGTAAAAAAACAGTTTTTAATCAGACATAATACATTTATTTAGGAATAAATTTTTTTAAGATCCTATTTTAAAATAAGAGTTTGTGCACAAGTTTGATTTCATGATTTTTTTCAGTCTGATCCAAACTCTGCCTTAGTTGTCGACACGGACTCAAATTTACAGATAAAGCTTCATCATATTGACAGAAATCTTACTTTGCAAATTTGCAAATGGACCACATTGTTTTAGTAAACATTATAATCTTGTGACATTAGGCCACTCTTTTTTCAGAATTGGCAGAGTTTCTTTAATTTTGGTTTCTAAGGTGGAGACAAGCTGGACTGAAAGTTGCGGCAGTCCACTTTGGCCAAATGGCTTTTGCCAAGATGATTAAGTAAGACGACACAAGGATTAGAGTATTTAAACAAAAAGGCAAAAAATAAACATGAAGAGGAATCAAGATGAAACCAGTTGTTGAATATAATGGTTGCACCATCATGCTCAGAGTCTATTTTATCACCAGAAGAAATGAAGAATGCTACAACTCAGATCATGATGGTAGAAACTTGGATACAACTTTATGCCAGGGTTATTACCCCAAACACATGAAATCCAGTTCAGTTTTTACGACAATAAACAGGGAAAATGGCCTTCCCAAAGTACTGACTTCCAACCTACTGAAAATATTTTAATTGTAATGAAATGTAGTAGCATGTAGTGGCATAAAAAAACATACAATTTAACTAGAAGAGTCAATTCAATCAGAGGTACTAGAGATGCCCCCCGATGTCTAAAGTGTGCACGGTGAGGTGCACCCTGCCAAAAGGACATCTTAAAGGTACCTGTTATTAAAATCATTCCACTCTGAGATAATGGGATTAGGTGCCTTATTAAACATCCACTGATTAATCAAGCTGGTGATCAGTGTAGACATGCAGCAGTATGGTCCAACCTGCTCCTCAAATGAGCTGATTTGCCAGCGGTACAGTCTGAGAACATCCAAAAGGCATCCTGCATCAAGAACATCCTCGTCTCCTGGCTCCTCACTGGACAGAGCTGTTAGGGCACAGGCCATGATTAAAAACAGAAAAAAACATTGATATGTTTTTTTTTTTTTTATGTTCTACCTATCTGATGTGACACTGTGTGCTTACCTTTTAGCAGATGCAGCAGTGTTGAAGACAGCTGGTTGTCTTTGCATGACTGGATCGAGGGCAGACCTGAAAACTTCTCCAGCCATCTGATGAAAGACGGACACGCTGCCAAACCCTGAAGCAAAGAGTTTAGGAAGCAGGTGTTGCCCAAGTTCAACAGACCAGGGACCATACCTGTGGGGAAAAAGGGGCCATGGTAAATCCCTGCCAGAAAGCATTTTGGTCTGAATAGGATCTGGACATTAAACATCCTCTCTGTTAGAGTAGTTTCAGGCAGGGGTTTAAGGGGTTTTTACTTTTTCCTCAAATACTGTAACTGATTCTTGGAAGGTACTTTCGTCACACATGTGAGGTTTATACTAAGCAGTTGCAATGATTAAAACAGGCAGGAGAGATGCTTTAATGATGAGGAAGTCAGCCAACTTTCCAAAGCCAATCTAATCTCCCAATCAGCTGACAAGAAGGAGCTGCTGATGTAACACAGAGCAGCAGAGAGATGATAAAAGAATCACTGCTTGTTAATAACTGGAAATGTGAAAGCACCGTCAAAAAAAAAACAAAGAAATTAGATGCAACAGATTATTAATCCCATACATAATCAAAATGAAAACCCTGCATTTAAAACAATAGAGGGAAACGACAGCAAATGCTCAGTAATCACCAGATGACCTCATTATTGTTAATATTATAGCAATGTTTTGTTCACAGCAGTTATTCTCAATAATATATTCCCAAAAAATACAATAGGTTCAAATTAGTCCCCCCCACTTAGTGTTTTCCCCAGATATTCTAACCTCTCTTCCGCTTCTTCCTCTCAGTTATCGGGCCCCACAGGACGTATGCTCCAGCTGCAATTGCAGCAGCGATCCCGCCGACAACACCCCAGTTTTTTATCATCTTGTTCCTGAAAAAAAGAAGCATATATTAAAAACATGTAAGGAAATAATCAACAAAGTCAGGAGAAGAAGAATGCAATTCTAATTCAAGACTTCAGACTTTTGCCTCTCATGGGATTTTAGCATATTACACTATATTGGACACGAGACACTGTTGAAATATTGTTAATGAAAATTGCAATGAGAACACTGCGAAATGTATCCCCTTCCTTTCTTCTACACCAACCAGTGAAAGGTTAACCATCTGCTTCATTAAATTCTACAACAAGAAAGTCCATTCAGCTGGAGTAATATATTGCTGCAATGCAGAGAGTCAATGTGTGCCTATAACTGAGGCATTAAAAAGATGAAACTTATTAAACCAAAAGTTGTCAAAAAATGAGTATACCATCTGTGCTTTTAACCTTTAAAGGCACATGGACAATTCTTTTCTTCTTTTTTTGAGTTTTTACGGCACTAATGGCTCATTTTTCTGACAATAGTCTGACAGGAAAGGGGGCTATGAGAGAGGGGGAGAGACATCTGGCAAAGGACCACGGGCCGGATTCAAACCCAGGTCGGACACTTACATGGGTCATGCGCACTAACCACTGACCCACCTGCACGCCCAAGGCACATGGACAATTAACAAAACATCTAACGGTACAGAAAGTTCAAGCCATACAGTGTGTAAAACATAATCAAATATAATAAAAACAATGTTTGAATTCTATTAGCTAAGGAATAAATTTGATTACCTCCCTATTTAGCATCACTACAAATGTCGAAGATGACACACAGATGCATTAGATCATTTGGCCAGGGTTATACAACTGGTTCTTGTCTCATCCTGTTTAAAGTTAAGACATAATGCAGTGGGAATGAACAAGATGGTGCAATCCAAAGAGAAATGTGAGGCCTTCCGAAAGAAAATTACCTGGTAAAGGATTTATAGACCTAAAGATTTCAAATCAGCCATTTGTCTGCATAGAAATACTTGTACAAGTGGAGCATATTCTAAACCACAACCAACATGCTGTGGCTTAGTGGCTGTCCAGTAGGGTGCCAGAGAGAGCAAGCCCAGCTGTATGAAGCACAGGGTGACATAGTAAAGCTACCAGAATGACAGCTAGCAGTCTTTAAAACAAGGGTCTCCGAATCTAGTCCTTCAGCTTTAGATAAATCTCTGCTTCAGTGAACCTGAATCAAATGATTGCCACATTACAAGGTCTTTACTAAATTTGATGGCATGCTAGAAGGAAAATCAATAGTTTATCTCAGCTGTTGAAGCAGTGATGCTCTGGAATGTTACAGGAAAGTAACTTTCAAGGACTGGACTTGGAGAACTTACAAGAAAGATAATGTTCTGGATTTTAGAAAAAAAATGAATAGCATCAGTAATTAGACGTGGAAACTAAAGGTGTACCACATATTACTGCAATGATACTCCCAAGGGTATAACATGCACAATAAGCATAACCTGTAAATAACTGCAAACTTCAGAAGATTTCTATTTAATATTAACCTTTTACCAACTTTAATATTCTTTTAGAAATTTTTTTAGGGAAATTAAAGACATTAAATACTTAGTTTTTATTTCATGGTGTTTTGTGCTCAAGGTTATCATACAATCATACAAATATTCATACAATAGAGTTTTAATACCAAAGTGAACAACATAAAAAGTTCACAAACAGAATAATTGTGTTTATGATCACAAAATGTAAGTGATTTTGGCCTGATTTAAATCTGTATTTACTTTTTTTAATCAGTGATATCAGATACGACCAAATTTAACACGAGTTTATCACGTCAGCTCTGGTTTCTATCCTTGCCCTGCGATATATTGTAACTACTCAGTCAGATTTAAATTATTCCTAATTGCTAAAGTCGTATTTCTAGTTAGTGAAACAAACACAGCATTAGCATTCAGGCTAACTTACCAAAAAAGCCGAAGCCAGGCTCCCTTACGAAAACTACGTTGACTTTACAAATATAGAACATTTGGATGTTGTCCCAAAATTAAAGTCTATAAGTTAAATATTAACTAAAACACAAAGGTACTAGGCTTACAACTATTATATCAGACTGCGTGTTCGCTCTGTTGGTCATAGACGGACGATGGCGGCCTACTGACCTATACTTACAGCCCTGCTAAGATCTGACCCTGGACACTAGTAGGTGTTTGTCACATGGAGATTTTACCTGACTGTGGGTCCTGTGCCAAGAAACTCCCCCACAAGCTTATCCGTGTTCTCTAGTCGACACCACAACATCCCAGTGTCCATGTGGAACCAATATTTGGTAGAGCGTGTTTCCCTACGGAGTATCTGAGAAGTGCACAAAACAAACGCTGCAAAAAAAAAAAAAAAAAAAAGCCTAGCTTGGGTCATATTTAAATTCATGTTAAAAGAGAAGTTAAAGTAGGATCAACTTGAAACGACATGAATCCTCCGGAAATTCTTCCCAAACCTTGTCAGAAAAAAAATTGAAAAATAAAAACTTAATAGTTTTGGGTTGATAAGATTTACTTTATTGTCCCCAAAGGAAATTCGATTTGGGTACAGACTCTGGCTACTACATAGTACAAATTATGTGTCACATTGCATTCACACATTAAAACCCTGCTATAAAAATTCCATTATAAAACAATAATACATTACAGTAGATTCACAATAAAAAAAATTTTGAAAAAATATACAAATATAAATATAAAAACCCCTCTTAAAAAAATCTGTTATGTGAAATAATGAATACATAAAAAAAAATGCATGCCGGTTTAGTTTCATCGCCCATTCCAGCTACAGTGTGTAATTTCTAGCGACATCTAGCGGTCAGACTGCAGACTGCAGCAACATGAAAATCCCCCCCCCACGCTTCTCCCCCCCCCCCCCCCCACAGTACGGCGAGCGTAACGGGACAAAATGTCTTCCACGACGTCCGCATCACCTACCTTCTCAAGTGATGAGGTTTGTTTACATAGATAATTTTAATACTGCCATCTATTGTTCAGTACCGTCTCAGTTCATCTCTCTCAACTTGCCGTAGTTACTTTCGAGCGTAAAGGGAAATCTCGCAAACGCTAGTTTGTTGGCTCTGCGCTGCCGTAGCGCAAAGATGTCTGCCTCCATGGCTGCGAGACCCGCTCCTATGTAATTATAAATAACGAATTCTAAGGCAACGCAAATATTAAGGTTAAGAGGCTGAGCTCGTAGATGATGATAAATAACATAGTTATGTATAATATATTAAATTTCTGACTGTATATCCCTGTAATTATTATACACTGTAGCTTTAAAAATAAAATAACGGATATAGGAATAGATAATTTTATGATATCCTCTGCTGTTATATATTCTGTTATTCTGTTATGAACCTATAGACAGACATTTTCAGCTGACATTTTCCTTCTTGGAAAAAAAGCAAAGGAGATTGATTGTAAAAAAAAAAGTGTACACTTATAAAACAAATGAATACTTAGAATACATTAAGATTCATACAGATGCAGCTAAAGTGGTAAATGTTAGAGAGGGTGCATCATTTATCATTCCTGATGTAAATATGAGAAATAAAAATCACAAAGTATCCTGTATACAAGAAAATCAATAGCAATAATGATGGCAGTGGAATCGGTAGAGGAAATTAAAGATAATGTTTTAATTCGTTCAGGCTCAAGCATTGCATTAATAAGTATTCAGGAGATTCAATCAAACTCAGAACTAGATAATAACATAGATATATATCACTTAATTCTCAGCTGCAAAAGTAATAGTATAGAAATCAAACAATTATGAATTCTGTGACATATAGGGAAAGACTCTAACAAGAAAATGCATGTTAAGGTTAAATGGCAATAGCATCTGGACAAAGAGGATAAGGCTAGATATTATTATGGTATCCCAAAAATAAAAAAAATGGGTAAATATAGACAATGTAATAGAAAAAGAAATAAGAGGCTATTATATATAGAATGAGATTTGGTCATACTAAATTAGATAGGACAGTTAACATAATTGGCAAAGATAAAACGAAAGATTTTATGAGTGGTGTGGGACATTGTAAACTATAGAATATGTGTTCCCAGAGTGTAGAAGGCCTTTATATAAGAAGAATTAGTTTTACATCTTTGTAGGAATTTTTGAAGACAACCTGGTTAGATATGAAGAAATTACTACAAAGATCCTAATGGGATTTTGTTTGATTTTTTTTTTTAAAACAACACGAATATTGAGGAGAATAAAGTGTTGGTATAAAAGTCAGTGGTCCATACTCCATCTAGGAGGTGGCAGTGATGCCCTAAAAGCTGGGTTTTTATGCCCCAACTGCCATACAAACACAAAAGAGGGAAGAGTTACTATACCCATTGTGGAAAAAATAATCTTGAATTAGATAACCAGATTTTATTTATTAAATAGTTTATAAATAACAAATACTTCTTTACGTTTATAAATTAGATTCTTTTCTATTTGTTTTTCTTTTACAAATAAAAAATTATCTTTTTGATAGGTAACTTCACCCTCACAACTCCTCTCAACACTAAAAGCACAATCTATGTAACACTTATTGTGAAATGCTGGCCAAAGAGGAGTGGGGAAAAATTGGAGCTTCTAGATGTATAATGCTAACAAATCATAAATATAAACACCTGGAACTTTGGTGCATGGTGGTATGCTGCCTGAAGAATAAATGAAAATGTAGCTCAGACTTTTTCAGATTTTTGACAGCAAAAAAAGAAAATAAATAATATTTGTTCTTGCAAGTCACAATAATGCAATATTTGGTTCAATGTATAGGTGGGGTAAGGAAATTTGTGGATCTTTATACACTGTTTTAGTCATCAGTCTAAATCTGTGATTTGATTCATATTCTAAATACCTTTTCTTGGTAAATTATTTTTTTCGCTTTGTTCTTTTAAAACTCAAAAGTACTACCTATAAACACCTGTCTCTGGAACTTTGGTGCATGGTGGTATACTGCCTGAAGAATAAATGAAAATGTATCTGAGACTTTTTCAGATTTTTGAAAGCAAAAAAGAAAATAAATAAAATTTGTTCTTGCAAGTCACAAAAATGCACTACTTGGTTCATTGTAGAGGTGGGGGAAGGAAATTTGTGGATATTTATACACTGTTTTAGTCATCAGTCTAAATCTGTGATTTGGTTCATATTCTAAATACCTTTTCTTGGTAAATAATTTTTTTCGCTTCGTTTTTTTTAAAACTCAAAAGTAAAGGACGGTCACTGTCAACTTCTGTATTTATCTGGACAGCTGTCTCCTCTGTCTCTGCTTCGGGTTGTGTAGGTTGCGGACTCCCCCGCCCCCGATCAGCAGTCATGTGGATCCACCCAAGCCCAGCCAAGCGCGCCCTCTGATTGGCTGTCGGCAGACGCGCAGACAGAGTCGCTCTCCTTGGTGCTGAAATCGCCGACCGTTCGCGATAATGTAAACTGCGATGAGGCCAAACGGAGTATCGGATAAAAAATACAAAAATGGAGGATGACCTTTTTCAGCTGAGACAGCTTCCGTGAGTAGATTACAGTTCGTGTACTGATGCTGCTGTTTGTTTGTTTTTTGTTTGCTTTTTTATCAGCTAATTTTAACCGTGACTGCCGGACTCGTTGCTTTCTGACTGCTTCGTGTTTATTTCATTAGCTCACCACAAATAGCCTGACAGTCCTCGAACACAGCACTGATTTATACCTACACCTACCTTACAGACAGGCAGTGTTAGATTCAGAAAGATAAACAACATTTTATTGATTTATACATTTACAAATTTTATGTTTTGTATAATTAATACCACAATTCAGTTTGCAGAGCGATCAGTTTAAAGTCATGACTCAGAGAAACATTGTTGATGTAAACCTTAGTGAATGTAAATCAATTAAACTCAAGAGTAGACTTTTAAAATGGTGGCATCGTTTTTCCTAAGCAACTGAAAATATCTAATCTTAATATAATGTGTTACTATGTATATTTCCAAGAAAAGCACCTTCTGGCATATATCTTTAGTAAGGAACACAAATAATTAGATATTGTCATGTTTATTCCTTTGGCACACTTAAATGCAACCTTGATGTTTCAAATAACATGGAGGTCATGTTCTTTAATTACTGTGGTTGAGTCATCACATGCTGATTGCATTCGTTCTAAGTGCAACTACCAATTTTGTGCATGTGGGAGAAGATTATAGGTTATACCCTCTCTGGATATCTAACCTCTCTTACAATGGGTTTTGGGAGAAAGTCCACAGCATATACAAGCCTTGGTGGGATTTATCCATTTTAACACTGTGCAACCAGTTAGCAGATTTACAGTAAAAAAAATTAGGCTACCAGTTTCTTAACTCTTATCTTTGCTATCTGATCTTCCACCAAACATAGATCTCAGTTGTTTTTACAAGAGATGTGTTATCCCTAAAAACTGCCCTAAACAACCGTACTGTTATTGCTAAACACTGTTTATTACTTCCTTTCAGTAACAATAGTAGCAAACAATTGAAGTGTTTACAGTCACAGCACAAAGTTTATAGCACACAGCTCTACAAAGATATTGTTGATACAAAAACCGGAAGAGGAGGTTGCATTATCATTTCTACTCCATACTTATGCATACTCTGGTAACTCATCTTTCTACAGTTAGTGTTTGGCTCAGCAACTAGACTTAGACTGAGTGAATTATCTGGGTAAAATATAAAATGCTGCAAAAAAATCATAAATTAACTCCATCTGTAAGAAAGAAAAGTATTTTCATGTATTTTTGATCAAATTAAATAAGAATGCTTTTGCATGTTTATAAAATGTATTTCAGTGCACCAGTGTTATCACTGTGGCATATTGGTACTGTAACTTAACTTTTAAACCATGTATAATCTCAACATCTAAAATTGGTGGATTTCTGGCCCTGGCTTAAATAGAAAGGTAAAGAAGTGTTGAATTAGGAGCTTGTTTGTCATCCTCAATGAAGGTAAAAGACATCAATCATCCAATAGGTGATAGATAAAATCGAAATAAAAAAAGAGACAAACCAACTGTCTTTTAAACAAAAATTGTACATATTGTAAACCTTTGAAACAAATTGACTCCTGTCACATGGCCTCACAGCATAAGCACTAACCACAGGAATAGCTTTACAAAAATGACTATACCTAAGCTGTTCATTTAGGCTATAGTTTTTCTTTCTTTTTTTTCCACCAAAATAATTCATGTTGCTTTTTGCCTTTCTTTTTTTTTTATTTTGCAGTGTTGTTCGCTTCCGTCGCACAGGTGAGAGCACACGTTCCGAGGAAGATGTGGAGAGCAGAGAGCAGGGTGTCACAACAGCAGCGCCTGTTGATCTGGAATCTGTGGCACTTGCAGAAGGAGCTCCAGTGCCACGAGAGTTTGCAAATCCAACCGATGGTAAATAACAGTAGTGCATTGCTTCTGCCCACTACCATTTCCTCTTTAAGTTAGATAATACTTTACACAAATTACTTAAGTTCACCATTTTACAGACACGTTCATGGTAGAAGATGCAGTGGAGGCGATTGGCTTTGGCACATTTCAGTGGAAGCTCTCTATTCTCACTGGACTGTCCTGGGTGAGAATGGCACAAATTCAATGTAGGCTCAACAGACATTTAATGTTGTCTATTCCAACACTAATTTAAAGAGTGTATCTGGGCTTTTTGTTTGTGCAGATGGCTGATGCCATGGAGATGATGATTCTCAGCATCTTAGCTCCACAGCTCCACTGTGAATGGAGGCTACCAAGCCTTGAGGTGGCACTACTGACATCGGTAAGAGCTTCCTACAGTTTATAAAGTGATCCTTTATGGAGTGTTTTGTGAATATGCTGGAAAATGAATTGTGTAAAGCTATAAGTTTTATTTGGATTGATTTTAAATCAAACCAGGAGTCACAATAAATGGCAATGCTGTCATATGAATGGTTGTATTGGGGGGGAAAGACCCAAATGTAGGAACTCAGGGAGCTTCTAGGCTTCAACTGAACACAGATAAAGCAGGTTAAGGTAACAAAACAAAAATGGACAGAAAATCGGACTAACAGCTATTAAACCCAATCAGCATATATATGAAGGAAAAACAGCAATAGGTAAGCTGATAGGTAACCTGAGGCAAGTAGTGAAATGGGAAGCTAAAAAAAGGACTTTTGTGGAAATCTGAAAAAAATTTAATGGTAAACAGCAGAAACTGAGACAGGCCAATGAAAAGAGAAACCTGAATTATAAAGAAAGCTTTAACTCAAACCCACATTAAAAACTTGGATCATGATAATATTCAATGTCTTGATTATAATTATTCCATCCCTTAGATAAAGGAACTTTAGTTCCTCAGGACCACTAAATTGAACCACTTCATATACCTGTAAAATTGTTTCTACTTTGTATGTCCCTGTGGATAGTGTGTGCTGAATGCATAAACATAATCATATACCTGCTTATACTTAATTCTAATTCTATTCTTTTTTCCACAACTGATGCAGGCAGTGTTCATTGGAATGATGATTAGCTCTTCTCTTTGGGGAAACATATCTGATAGATACGGCAGAAAGATGGTGAGTTCCACAGGAAGTCTTCTTAACCATTTGGTTTATGAGGGCCATGCAAAATTTCAATCTCTGAAGTTTCCTTTGTCACAACCACAATCTTTAATGTATTTTACTGGGACTTTATTTAATCATACAACCTAAAGCAGTATTTTTGAATTATCTAGCTTGAAAAAAAAAAGGAAATCAAGATGTCTCTGGATTGGGTAGACCAGCAGAGACTTGCTCCAAAAGACCTTCAGCTGTAATTGCTGAGTTAGATGTATCTAAAAAGCACTTACTCAACGTAGGCTGTATATCAATGCCTTGCAATGCTTTCGACATTTTGTTTTTGTAAAGGTTTAACAAACCATACAGGTTTGATTTTTCCTCCATGTAAGAATTATGGACCCATTTTCATGGTCTAATAAAATAATCTCAGTAAGATAAGCTGAAGTTTTTTTTAATAGAAAAACTCTCAGGGTATGAATATTTTGCAGGGCTCTAAATGTGTAAAAATACTAGCTGTGAATAAGATAAGTGTATGTGAAATGTAAGTGCTGATCATACCCACCAACAGGGCTTAACACTGAGCGTACTTTGGACCATGTTCTACGGCCTCATGAGTGCATTTGCACCCATTTACGGGTGGATCCTGTTCCTGCGTGCATTAGTGGGCTTTGGTATAGGAGGAGCACCACAGTCGTAAGTATCCCTCCATCACAGCTCTAAAGACAACAATGAACCTAATGAACTGAGTTGGTTTTAACACCAAAGTTCCTTATTCCTCCAAGGGTGACCCTGTATGCCGAGTTTCTTCCCATGAGATCCAGAGCTACATGTATCCTGCTGATTGAGGTATGAGTTGCTCCACACTAACACATTAACAAGTGTATTTTTCCCCTGTAGTACTTTTCCATCCTGTTTTTTTTCCAGATCTTTTGGGCAATTGGCACAGTTTTTGAAGTTCTGTTAGCAATCCTGGTGATGCCCACTCTGGGCTGGCGCTGGCTGCTGGGCCTTTCCACCATCCCTCTCTTCATCTTTGCCTTTCTGTGCTATGTGAGTGCAACAGTTTTAGGCTGTAGAGTATGGTAGTGTATGCATTTACACCTTTAATGCTGATGTGCATGTGTTTACAGTGGCTTCCAGAGAGTGCTCGTTATGATGTGCTGACGGGGAACCAGGAAAAGGCTCTTGCTACTCTGAAACGAATAGCAACAGAAAACGGTGTCCCCATGCCTCTGGGAAAACTTATTGCTGCAAGACAGGTAGAGCGCAGTCTGCATGTACTCTGTTATAGGACTATTAATAACTATTGTCTCACCTGCAATATACTACATGTATCATGCAATCATTTATCTATTCTTACGTATCTGTTCTTTCAAATTAGGAAGACCGGGGAAAGATTAGAGACTTATTCTCATCACAACTTCGCTGGACTACAATTCTACTCTGGTTTATTTGGTAAACAAGACAAATAATAAAGCACCCAAACGTCTGTCTCGGGATTTTTTCAATCCTCTGCAATTTTAGTGGCCATCTTTAATCTGTATTTTCTAAAGAATAATAGTACCACAAGCTTGTTTTGTCACATGCATTTCAGTGTAATTCATTACAATTGTATGTCATGGACCGACCCAAAGTAGTTAAGAATTGTGAAGTGTAAAATACATGGCTTTACTTTTTATACATGTAAATCTAAACATTGCGGTGTGCATTTGTATTTAGCCCCCCAAGTAGAAGTATTTGTCAAACAACTTTTAACTGCAGTAGCAGCTGTATATATTTTGTTTCCAGTGGTTTTACACAAGTTGAAAATATTTCTTTGCCCAGTCTGCCATGCAAAGTAACTCAGGCTCAGGTAACTGTTCTGCTGGGAGGGCAGCATACACCTCAGTATTTTTTTTCTGAAACAATTTTTCATTCAAAAGAGTTCCTTCCAGTATAAAGATTAATACTGAGATACAATAACACACAGATGGATTGTTTAAGAATTAAATGAGTGTCGGCATGAACAGGTCACAGATGATTTGATTAGGAAGTATAAAAATTAAGCTGGCAGGAGAAAATTATATTGCACACCAAAAATTATTGGTTTTAAGGACAGTAGTGTCCAAAGTGTGGCTGGGGAGGCTATATGTGACCTTCTGAATGACTTTAGAAAGGTCCTTGACTCCAAATTAATAACGGCACAAATCTTACCAACCAGCTGAGGCAGTTGGCAAGTTTTAGCACATATATTTGATGCAAGACTTTAACCATAAGTTAATCTTGTTGAGACAATAGCCCAACTTTTACTTTCATCAAAATACTCTATCTCTGGTTTATTGTGATTATGTGAAAATACAAAATTCTATGTTAAAATGTGTTTTTCGCATTGTATATTGATATTTTTTTTGTGGCTGGTGGAGCCTCTCAGCTACCATTTTGGCCCTAAATGTTTGGACAACACTGCTGTGATATAATAGATGTGGAAAAGATCAAAGCATATGAAAAAATTGCAAGGCAATGTCTTAGCCTGATTTCAAGTTGCTTCTTTGTCAGTGCAGGTTTGCAAACGCCTTCTCTTACTACGGACTGGTGCTCCTCACCACAGAGTTGTTTCAAGAGGGAGGCGCATGTGGAAGTGAGTCAAAGGAAGCTTCTTCTACAACCAGAAACAACATGATTTATGCAAAAAGCATGATAGACATTTGATTGAGAATATCTAACAAAAGAACTGTTTAATGTCTTCCTCTAGTGGCCAAAGGTGGTAAAAAGGAGCTGCGATGCAGCTTGGAGTGTAAATATTTAAATTCTGATGACTACAAAGATCTACTGTGGACAACATTATCTGAATTCCCAGGTAAATACATTAAATATGTTTGTTTTTTTCTTGTTAATAATATGTAGGTGTGCAGCGCAATACTATATGATTTTACTTGTAAGATGTTAAGATAACTAATATCAAAAGTAGACAGAGCAACTGGCCCTCATTCTCATCTGATGCTTCATTTACGATTTTAATTTACGATTGTATTATGAAATACAGACAGCATTTTTATTTTAGTTTCAAATGGATGATTTTTTTTAAAGTAATTCCATTATCAAATATTTATTATTATTATTTTTTTGCCACAAGATAATGGTTTACTAGTAATTAATTTCAAATGTGAAATTTAAATATTGATTTATTAGATACAGAGTGATATATTTGTTGTGTCATTTTCATAAAGTATATTATCTGTGTGCTAGAGATAAAATTAACAATAAATACATTTTTTTAGAATAGTAGAATTTCGAATTAGATGAATAAAATGTGATTTTGATACTTCTAACATTAGTATCAAAAAAGAAAACCCATCTAAAATATTAAATGCATATGATTGAGGCTTCCTTTTCAGAAATAATTCAATTGGACATCAAGTTGCTTAAATTCAGCGTTTCTCCATACACCCTGTTGCTGCCCAAGTCCTGCAGTGTCTGTCTGTGATGGCTCTTCAGAGTTGAGACCTGCCTCATATCCCCCCTTTAGCATTTCTATCAAAATCTCAAAAGGGCTTTACTGTTCAATCCTCTCAAGTCTGTGATTATCTCTGTTGCCTGTGCTACTTTTTCTGCTGCACTATTTCTTTCCACTAGACTTTCCATTACTGTGCTTAAATACAGCACTCTGTGAACCATCAGCTTACTTAGCAATTGTCTAATGAGTCTTCCTATCAATAATGGAGCAGCTGTCAGGTCATGGTAATGACATAACATTGCTGTGATTAAAATCATTTTCTGGTGGTCTTATGTGATATTCTAACTCCTTCAGAAACAGTATTTGTTGTTTTTATTTGTAAATTCTTAGAAAGTTTCACTTTGTGCATAAAGAAACCTATTCTCATTTTATTGTGTTTTTTTTTTTTTTCTAATTTAAAGAAAACAAGCAAATGCATAAAGATAGTCATTTTAGGAGAAGACAACAAGCCGAGTTTATTTTATTTTTTCCTTTTGCTTAGGACTGCTGGTTACACTGTGGGCTATTGATCGACTGGGACGGAGAATGACCATGGCATTGTGTTTCCTCGTCTTCTCCCTGTGCATCATTCCCCTGTATGGATGTGTTGGGAGGTAAATTATCGCCTCTATATTTAATGATTTGCAGATTCTTGTTTATCTACGTCTTCTGAAACTTGTTTGTCCTTTACAGAGTGTCCATGACAGTGCTAATATTCGTAGCCAGGGCGTTTATTGCTGGAGGCTTCCAGGCAGCTTATGTTTACACTCCGGAGGTAATATATATAGAGTATGATTTTTAATTTGTTAAGAGCAGAGAAAGTGGAGAGATTAAACCAGGAGATGATGAATTTCTTTCTGTTTTTTTCTGCAGGTTTATCCAACAGCAACCAGAGCTTTGGGTCTGGGAACAAGCAGTGGAATGGCTAGAGTTGGCGCTCTCATCACTCCTTTTGTTGCACAGGTAACACCTAGATTAAATAGTGCTAAGAATTTAAAGGACCTTGTTTGTATAAGTGTATTCATTGTGTTTGATCTGGGCCTTCATCCTACAGGTGATGCTAGAGTCCTCAGTGTACCTGGCTCTCTCTGTGTACTGCTGCTGCTGCCTGTTTGCTGCTGTTGCCTCCTGTGCTCTGCCCATTGAAACCACAGGCCGGGGGCTGCAGGAGTCCAGCCATCGTGAGTGGGGACAGGAGATGGTAGGCCACAAAGCTGAAGAAATCCCACACTCCAACTCAAGCTCCCAGGGTTGAGAACGTGTTTGCTAAGGTACAAACAGAAGGCAAGTGCAGCAACAAGACAAGATGAGAAGAAAGGAGAAAACAACACCATCTTTCTGCCCTTCTTGTATGTTACCCCTAAGAGCCAGGCAGTACCATTTATTTTCTCATCATGTCATGAAAGGTCTTTAAACATCACTGGTGTCACAGGGTTTCCATTGTAAAACTACGTACACACGGAGTGAGTGAGAGAGACCTAATGTACAAGATTTCAGGAGAGGATGATGAAAATAAGAAAGTTTTCAAATGTATCTTCATGCATCCACCTTCTTATAAGAGCCTTAAATGAACATATTCAACTTTTGAACCTTTTTAAAACGCTGCTTCTGTAGTAGACAAAGCATATTTAACATAACATCTTCTCAGTATTTTTAGTAAGGAAATCTGATCATCTCATGTACGTATAGGCTGCCTGCTGATATGCACTTTAATGTATGAAAAAAAAAAAACCGTTTAGGTAAAACTAATTTATTTTATTGAACAGTCCCATTATTATGATAAATATATAGATAATTTTGGAGCACAGAAATAGAGAGTTTCTCTCAAACATGAGAACTCCTTACTGTAATTTGTGGCTCTTATTCAGCCTTTTCTTGTTGGTAATGCAAATACCACACATAAAAGGCTAAAATCATGAATTTAGAAGGTCTAAACATAATGGTGTTTGTTTTATTTCTAACAAAGATTTCCTGAAGCTGTCACTGGGAGTTGAGGGTTCTTCAGCATGATACTGTGGTAATATTTCTACATTACAGCACATAGAGTGAGAGTCTGCAGAGTTTTCCAAAAGTGCCATTATTTTTCAGACTTTAGTTCAGTTTTACTTATTGAAGAACCAAGCTATTTCTTCTGTGAGAAAATTTTAGTTTACTTCGGACAGAGTCCAGGCTGATCAACGTTTGACACAAATCTGTTAGGGTTATGACAAAGAGGCTATCTAAAGCCAAAGGAAATCATCCCATAAGTTAAATCACCATTGAAGATTACTGAGAATTGTATAAATAATTTTGGGCACGAAATTTTTTTTTTCTTCTCATAATCATTAAAGGGATAGTTCGGTATTTTTGACATGAATCTGTATGGCATCCCGATCACCAGCGGCATGCAATCACACTGACTTACCCCTGGCAGCGTCCTGTGAGCAGAGTTATCGTCCAGTTTTGGTCAAGCCGAAAGTAGTCCTGCAGGTTTTTAGGAACAGCGAAATAAAACTTTTCTCTTCCCAAAACATTATGTGTCCAAAAGAGTGATATTTTCGCATCCCAAAAACATTGTAGTGGAAAAAGTCACACGTCGTTATCAATTGGTCCTATTTTCTCTCTGTTCGTATCAGTGCGCGCCGTCATTCAGACAGCGAGCCCTCCGCCGCGGAAGGAGACATGGCTGTTGTTGGGCTCGCTGTTGTTGGGCTCGCTGCAAGAACACTGAGGCTATGCCTCAGTGTTCTTGCTGCTGTGTCACACTCTTTCCATTAGAAATTATTGGAACTGATCAGCCCTTTGTTAGGTGTTCAAAGTTTAGGATCTTATTTTATTTTTAACTCAACCCTGCTTTACACCTCTCTATACTTTATTCTGACCTGTCCCGTATAGTTCTTTGGTTTCCTGATGTTGTTTTTTTAGTAACCTCCATAGCTTTCCAAAAACAGTTGGTTTTACATTTAGAATTAATTTCAGTAATTACTATTCACTAGAGGACTTGTAGAAGCAGTTTATTCCACTGGATTTTATCTAAGCATTTGTTGGTAAAAGGCGTTAAAAACAAATGCACCACACAGTTTAATTTATTATCATTACTAAAAGATGTGGAGCATCTGGCCGGTGAAACCTCTCATTCATTATCTTGATCTCTAAAATTATGTGATACCTTTGTTATGGTCAATGACATAGATTCTAAAATAAAACACTTTAAAGTTTGTGTTATTATGTGAAAACATTCAAGAGGTGTGAATACTATTGCAAGGTATAGTAGAACACTGCCACTCCATAATGCTGCTATTTCAACTATCTCAAACATTATCTCAAACATGTTTAGTATTTCTAACCCTGAAATGTGCTCTAACAGGGAAAAGGTTTGTTAATAACAAGTGAAGATAAAGTCCAGATGATTCTGTTAAAGTTTCACTCACATATTGAGTTATTTTTTTAGGCCAAACAGAAGTCATGAATCCCGTTAAATGTAATTGCATCTTCTCGCGTGGAGAAAGTTTTAGCTGTTTAGAAGGTTTTTTAGAAATGACGTGAATTAGTAACATATTTTAGTTTGTTCTTAAAGACAAATAAACATTTAACCTCTGTATTCACTTGATCATCAAAAATAGACCAGCTTTATTTTTTTTTCTCAAAAAATGATGTTTGCACTCATGTACTGATGAATCCTCAAATGACTCAGATGTTAACACTATATTTCAATAGACCCCAGCTGTGACTCTACTGGATGTTAAGTTTTCTGTGTAACTTATGTTAAAGAATTAAATAAAAGCCTAGTTTGTTTGTGATCTTTGATTTTGTTTGTAATGAAAAATTAGATAGAGACTAGGTCATTCCAAACAGACATGATACTACCACGCACAGGTCCACCAAGAAGACTCTAACTCACCAGTGTTTGAGATATTGTGCAGCATTAAGTGTTAATATGATGGATGTAAATGTGTATGATACTACAGTAAATAAACTTAAAAAAAACAACAACAACTTATGGAGTCATGTTTTTTTATTATTTATAAAAATGAATAAAGCTACATCATCAGTTAGAATCAATGCATTTACTACAAACTAAATTTACATAGACATAAATCATTGACATATTTTCATTGCTCAGGTAAATCATTCAAACTTAATATTAATCTAAGGCATCTTGGGTTACATTGGTGTCAGTAGTGCTCAGACAAAGAAAAAAGACATGTTAGGTTTGTTGAAAGCACCAGGAGTACTGGTGTAAAAAACTGTGATTGCTGCTGCTGCTGACCTCAACACTACAGCCGAGCTTTTGGACGTTTGCCCTTCTGTTCCACGATCTGGCCAAACAGCCTTGCTGCCTCTTCAGCACAGCCTCTGTGAATGGTAAGCCCAAAACCACCATGGCCGTAGTTGTGTATCACCTGGAAGAGTTCACTACTGTTTGTTTTGGCAACTGAGGAGCAAAATGTTCACTATTTTCTGCTTGGGTTTACCTCGATTGGGGAAGCACCAGACTGAATAGTCTCACGCTCCAGTCGAACTTTGCTGCGAACAGGTCTGAGGCCGGCCCAGTCCTCTACAATCCTGGCATGCTGAGGAGAACCACACAGAAATAAGCCAAAGACAAAACCCGTCACCTTAGTTGACAACGACTAAATGAAACCCATTGCTTAAATTAAAAAAGCATGCTTTTGTCTCATCTTCTACAGTGGCCAAGCTAACACTGTACATCACCCTGAACACTGTGTGAAACATGGTGGTGGCAGGATCATGGTGTGGGGATACCGGTCCAACAAGCTTGAGTAAAATGGCGAGATTATTTCCTCAATATGTTATTAAGACCAACAGAGTCCTGCTTTCAACCTAATTCTTTAATTCAGGTGTGCTAGGCCAGAGATATACCTTAAGTTGTGAAGACGATTGTAGAGTTTGACAGCTGTTTTTGAGTTTCTAATGGCGTTAGAATGGTATATGAAATTCCAAACAGAAGAATAATTTTAATGTTTTTTAATGTAAAATTATGAGCTTTGTTCAGTCAGAAAAAGATATGCTGACAGTGTTGTAATATGAGTAAGTTTCAGGAATGGTAATACTTTGGCAATGCAGTATTTCAGTCATTTTTTAATGTATTTTGCCATTTTGATGTAATAATGTCAGTTTTTGTTTTATCTTCTGCATATTTAAAGTGTTTTAGGGCAAGACACAAAATCTCTTCTGCACCCCAGAAGGCTCATTATGAATTATTAACTTCAGCAGAGGAAAAGTGGCTTTTCTCTGCCTTTTGACGTCATCTCACCTTGAGACTCGGCTCAAGCTGACATGCATTTTCCCAGATGTTCTTATGGTCGGTGGAGTTGTTCTGCTCACTCCAGTTTCCCAGCTGGAAAACTCCTCCTACAGTCACAAGACGGCTCCTGCAGACACATAGGGTCTGTTAGTGAATAAAAACAGGTCTGACTATCTGACCTCATGGCACAACCATCCCAAACTAGCCCAAACAAGGTCTGCAGCTACACATTGACACTTCCAGAAAAGCATGAGGTAAAACTGCCCACTGAAAAACATCTGAGGCATGATATCAGTTTAAAAGTTAATCAGTACAAACATTGGTGCAAGCGTAAGGTCAGTGTGATTAGACAGTTCTGTGCTTATCTGCTGTGTTACTGAAAATACCCTGGGATGATATATGGTGAATTGTACACTCCAGTTTTAGTACTGTGGGTGATGATCCAGTGCTTCAGCCATGGGGCATCCACCTGGAACCAGATGAACATGTTAAAAATAGTTTATTTTGTAATGTCTCTACATGCTCTTTAAGGCCTCCTAAGCTCACCTTAACTATCTGGCCACGTCCTGGTCTAAGGTCTGGGTCTGGCTGCAGCTCCCCAGATCTCACCCCTGTGCAGTTTACTATAACATCCGCCCCAAGATCAGAAAGCTGAAAATAAAAGTCATGGGCAATAAATGGTAAAGATTTGTCAGACGGTAACATATTTGTAGAACAGAAGAGGAAAATGCATCATTTTGAGATGGCTTTAGAAAAATAAAACTTAAAAAAGAAAAAAAACCTTCCACTAACCTCTTCAAAGGACTTTATTTTTCTGTGATAGAATTGAACACCCCTTTCTTTTAACCTGCAAAAACATTTCAAATATCTTTAAATAGAAGCCGCACCACCATGGTACCAAGCCTTGAGACATGCTATACAAAGGAATTTGTTAACATCACTGATCTCTATTCAATCACTGGATTGCTGACTGGCTGAAAAAAAATGAGGTAATCCACTTCCAGCTTGGTACTCCCCACTCTCATGGAGTCACACCATAAAAATGCCTCTAATGTAATGTAAAAACCATAACAATACATGTTTATTACATGTACAACATCCATTTAGCACCTTTGGCACATCATCAGATGGGGTGTGTGTGTGTGCATGTGTGCAATATTCTTAATATCTGACTACAGTATTCTTGTGATGGATTTGTATAGTAAGTTATATTACATGATTTATAGACTTCATGCATTATGCAAAGTGATGTGCCTATTTTTTTACCATAACATACAGCAATCTACTCATGCTATGTAACACCAAGTGTGTGTCAAAGTTATGACTTTATTTTAACTTTTAAAGTCTTAAGACCCCCTGAAAATGAGAACATAATGGTTGTTTGATCCTGTAGCGCACATATTTTTTATATTCTGACTGGTCTAACTAGGGAGTACCAATATGGTGGCTGGTGACTTCACAGCCCTGTGTACTGTACTACCAACCGCCTATCAGCAATCCAGTGAATAAATAGAGATCTGTGGTTAGCATCCAAAGAACACCTAATATGTAGACGAGGACAAAGTTTATGGTAATGAGGAGTTCCCACCCTCAGGGAGAATGTGTCTCTATAAAGAGTGAAAAGAAGGAAGTCATCGGTGACACTGCCACTATGATGACATACGAGCAGAGTCATGGCACTAGTTGCTGTATCATGTCGAGGGAGTAGATTTTTTTAACAGGAAAAAAAGAGATGAGAAGATGGATAGATCTAAATACAGGGCACTCCCATTTATTCTCCTCCTGTTCAGTCACTCTTTGCTGGTTTGTCATAATTTCTTTGCCCCCTTGTTGTGAGTATTCCTGGTCTTCAGTATATTTTTATTTTTGTGGATTTATGTTTTAGATTTTTGCCTCTGTTGAACTTTTTGGTTAATTAAATATTCAAGAAACCACTTCAGCTTCAGTCTACATTTGGGTACTGTCACAGAGACTATTGACTTTAGGCAGCTAAATACAATTGCTAACAGTAATTTCCAGATTTTCCATTTGGAAGATAAATAAAAACCCTGCACCTTTTTCTGTCCACACCAATTATTCACTATTTTGAGTTGCTCTATTACAGCCAAACAAATCTATATACCGGATATATATGGTTATTATGAATTAAATAAAATAATAAAGGATTATGAATAATGTTATCATGCATTGTATCTCTAAGTGAGTTCAATACATTGCAAACAAACTGTTAAAATATGTAGCGTAAAAATCTTTTCAAAAAAGATAAATATACAAGTATATTTGAAACAAAAAAAGTCATTAGGATACCAGGTTGTATTCTAATTTTAAATAACGTATCACTCTATATAATTTCTGTTGTTTTGTTGTTACACAATAAAACATAGTATGAAGCAATTATTTAGAATATTAAAGCCAGAATGAGAAAAAGTATGTAAAGGTTTTTACTTACCAGTTGGTCAGCCATGGTAAGTATGTTTTACCTTCCACCATGAGAGCTGTGTTGAACCAGCCATACCTGAAGAAATAAAGTATTTTAATGGTCATCCACTAGTTAGAAAGATATCCAAAACTTGAAACACAGATGATGTGCTGAGAGGAAATTATATCTAGTATCACCTTTTGAGAAAAATAATTCACTTCCCTGATACTTTATGTGTGTCATTGGAGAATGTGGATTGGGTTTTAATATTTACTGCTGTACTGGAAACATTATCAAAGATACTGAAGGCTGCTTGACTGTAATATATATATATATTTTGGGTCATTTCTGCAGGAACTCACTTGTATCCAGGAAACATTCGCAGCTCTCGCTCTGTGAGCTGTCTAAAGCCCAGGACGATGTCCTTAAACGAGGGTTCCTGCAATCCAAAACAGACTTACTTAGAGAATGAATAACAAAAATCACCTTACACCAGTGCATAGAAAACTAACTCAACCGTATGTAACCCCAACCCTTCTTGAGGCCTCTCTATTGGTGTTTCCCAACTACTGTTGGCAACCATCCATTGTTCATCCGAACAAAGCTCTTCTTCAGTGCAGCCGAAAAAAACAAAAACATTGGACTTTATCTATGACTTATAATGAACCTGTCTGGGATAATTCTATAATTAATCTTTAGGAGGTTAACTTTGATCTTTATACTTAAAATAGGTTACCGAGTCCAGCTCTTATCTCTAAGGTTATGCTTACAGTGCATTTTGCAAGATCAAAGCAGTACTCACTGGAAGAGGTTCAGTGCAGAGGTTGTAGCCTGATTGGAGGAATATACCCATTTTTACAGCCTCAGGTGAGCTGAGCCAATTTAGCAGATAGTCAAACGTTTCCTTATTCCATTTTCTAATGAGAGAAACAGACAGGACATTGTATTGATTGTCACTTTTAGAGATAAGGAAAAAATATGAATTGACAATAAAAGAAAGGTTGCACTCACGTCTCCTGAATGTTGCCCTTATCATAGAGGTAAGGCTGCCAGAAGCCAGCAGCTCCATCACTGGTGGTCAGAGGGGTAAAGCAGTCTGCATAGACTTCAATGATCAGTGGGCTAACAGTGGAGTGGTACTGCTCATAGATGCTCTGAGCTGTTGACAGACCAATGACTCCAGCTCCAACCACTGCCACCCGCATCTTTGCTCTAAAACAGGGCAGACGAACTTTTAATGGCCTACTTCTTTGTGCAGAAAAACACCATAAAGCAGGTTAATAATAGCCCACAAAACATGTGTGGAATAAATAAATAAAAAAAAGACATGTTTAGACCGACTTGAAACTGTCTTTAGGTTCAATGCATGAACGAAATCAAATGCACAGAAGAAAAACAGAGTGACGGGTTTTCTGACACAAAAACTGAATTGCATGGGAAAAGCAAGCACAAATAATCAGGTCATGTTCTGCAGCTTTGCGAACTTTGAGCAGCCCACATGCTTAGTTTTATATAACGGGGGTTGGACGCGCTGTATATTTATTAAAAGGAATTAAAAATAGCCGCAGGATGCGAAAAAAAATCACGATCAATCTATTTAAGAATACCAAAAACATTGAAAAAAAACCCCAGTATATATATATTTATATATCTTACCTTAAGCTCGAGTTACTACTGCTCAGTGTTAACTTCTAATCATTGACTGAACACCATTTCTACGCCTCCATCTGTCACATTGAGGTGGGCGGAGCTTGGAGCTTTTCAAGTGTGGTGTGCTGCGTTCAAGGCTCCATCTGTCACATTGTGGTGGGCGGAGCTGGGAGCCGTTCAAGTGTGAAGTGCTGCGTTCAGGTCCCGTCGTTAGACCAGAGATGGCGTATGATACACAAAGATACAATATGTAGAAAGGAACTAACAACAATTAATATACTTTATAGAACAGTTAAATTATTATCTTTGAGCTAAGAAAGTTTGCACATTCAAAACAAAACAAAACGATACTGAAAGTAGTTTAAATGGAAACAAACAAAAAAAAATAATATTGTAGCATTAGCTTAGATTTACCTACTGGAAAACAAGTTCAGAGAAAGAAAATGATTTTTACATTTATACCTTTCTCTCCACTATGTTTCAAAGTCATATTGTACTTTCTACTCCACAAGAGGCTAGTTGTTACTTGTTCCTAGTGGCTCAGTTTAGCTTTGAAATCTGCTTTTACTGTTTTTCTTTCTGGAAATACAATTGTCCACACTATGTTTCTCACAAGGTTCAAAGTTCATCTTTAGGAACAGGCATCCTGGATGTTTCAGTTATCTCTCTTTCTAATAACACCTGGGTCAAAGGCATGTGTAGAACTTTGATACGCTGAAAAATGTGTAACTACCCCCAGGGAAAATAACTAAAACATGCAAGATACCAGCTCCTGGGGACTGAATTTGGACACCACTGCTTTACAGATTGGAGTGACATTCCACAATTTTGAAGAACACAGAGCAGATATTATTTGTAGTTTACACATTTCATTAAGATGTGAGTTGTTGCCATGTTGTTCATAATTATGATTGTCAAAGCAGAGTTGTAGTTTCTTTCTGGTTTTAGATTCCACCTTAAACCTCTATCCCATAGTAAGAGGGTTAGTAGAATCAAGACTTTGTTTTCTTTTTGGTGTGTTTTTGAATAAAAAAATAATAATCAAATTAGGAATCCTTGTTTTTTGTGGTATTTTTATATGGAGCTGAAAGAGTCTTGAAAGTTTTCCTGCCTTTTTGCAACGGGCCTGTAAATGCTCCATTGGCTCTGATAAGCACCAAGAGTGCAAGCGGCAGCATCAACCTTATAGCATCAATCAATGCTATAAGCAAAACTACTGTTTAGAAGGGAGTGATATGACTACAATATAATCAATACTCACATTAGGAAAAGCACAATTATCAGCAGTATTTGGCATGTTAAAATGCAGCATAACTTCAATGTTGCAGCTGCACACAGTTTTATGTTGGCACCTTATACTACCAAAAATGACCTCTCCTCAGGTCTAGGGTAGGCTTTCACATTTAAAGAAAGTTGATGTGAGCCATACAAATGCAAATCAAGCATTCGCCACAAGTCTTCATTACATTAGAACATTGTTTTTACATTTGAACAACTTTGATGCAAATAACACAAGCTTAAGCCTGTATGTATTACAGTTTTTTTTTTTTAAATACATTCCCATTTCCACTCCTTTTGATTGGCAATAAATGGCAAAAGAAAAAATTCATGCATTCAGCAAAAACAGTTAAAATAGTGAAGATGGTAAAATAACATTAATTGTGGAGGGGATGCATAGTACAAGGTGGTAATGGTAAATCAAAAACAAGAACAAAATGTATATGTCAGGGTTTAGTTGAGGTTTGAGGACCCAAATGCAGAGGCTGAGAGACAGAAGTGAGTTTTTGCACTTTTTAATAAACCAACACAGGTAACAGAGGCAGGAATCCAAAATCCAAATTAAAATGTAAAACTTAACCAGAAGCATGGAGACATCAGGGGGAAAGAGCAGGTGGAGTCAGGGAAAGGCGAGAACAGACGAGGTAAGACAAGGTACCAGCACTGAGGAAGTGCACAAGGAGAGTATCTATGATAGACGGAAAAAAAGAGAGGACTAACGAGTCGATTGGGAGCAGGTGTGAGGAGAGGAGTCTAGAAAGGAGCTCGGGAAAAGGGGACCAACACATGAGGGTAACAGAGGGCAACAAATAAAAACCTAAGAACTCAAATATATCCAGAAAACACAACAAAATAGGAATTAAATCAATAAAACTAGAAAACATGGAGCAAAGTAAAACTGAAAATGCAACAGAACCAAGACCTTGACAGTAAAAGTTGAATTATTATATTGCTTTCAGTGATGTGGGAGAAAACACAATGACAGTTAAAAGGAAAACTAAATTGCATTTATTTTACATATCATGAATGTTACCATAAAAATGCAATAAAAAGTATGAAATATGTAAATGCAGTTGTTACAGCAGCAGGAAAGATAAAAATGCCTTGAGTCAAAGGATACAGTTCATTGCAATTGTACCTTCTGTAAAAATATACAGAATGTATCTTTTACTCTGTAATTTGGGTATGTTGGACTAAATGTGTGATATAGAACTTTTTGCTACAGTAAAATTCTCTTCCTGCTCTGTAACACCCACCCTCACACACACGCACGCGCACACGCACACACCATTGAGCCCCATCCTGCAGGATCCCTCTGTCTCCCTCCCCGCTCCACTCACCGTTAGCCCCGGCAGCTAGCTGCAGCTCCCCAGGCCACAGCGGCCGCCCCCCGGTGTCGGTGCAGCATATGAAGTGCAGCATCCACGGTCTCCAGCCATGGCGTTGGTAACACTGCAGCGGTCTCCGACCCCGAGCGCCGCGTCCACCGCAAGCACAGCAACGACGACCGCAGGGGAGGTCAGTCTCGGCCCTCGGAGGGGGGCAACCAAAGCGATGCGCCGGTGTGATAGTTAAGCTGGGAAGCAGTGAGGATGAGGGGGATGTTGACAGAGGAAGGGCCGCTGATTGAAGCTAAATTAGCACCGTTGGTTATCGTGTTATGCTAGGCTCCATCACGTTATGCTAGGATGTTAGCGATGGTATGAACTCCCTGCTTCTATTAGAAAAATAACAATAACATGTAAAATATCTCAATGTCAATAGGCTGACTGGTAAATATTAATTCAAGTATTGAAATGCAGCTGCGATTTAAAATATGCTTAATTGTACTATAATACGATATGAATGAAGATGTAGCTAACCTCAATGTTAGCTGTTTATGACATGTTGAGTCATTTAATCTGTTTTTTCTTATAGGTTGTATATTTTTCTAATAAAATAACAGGCCATTTTTTGTTTTTTGTTTTAAGTATTTGCTTTATGATCTTTTTTTAAGACAAAACTGTCAAAAATATCCCAATTCAAACTTTTAAATTATGTTTTGACGTTAAATTTTCACACATATATATTAATTTCAAATAAAAAAAACATGAATGCCCTGGAAATGTGTCTGTTGATAGCTTGATGACCTATTGGTCATTTAAAATAAGAGAAACATGTGATCCACACACATTCTTTCAAGAATAAAAATATTTTTTAGTAATCTACATAACGCTACAGAAATATCTGTATTTTTTTAATATATATATATATATATTTTTTTGAGTTTGTTGTTATGGTCACTAATAATTGGGGATAAGTTAAAGTTTATTCCAAACAGTTATTTATCCCAATATTGTTCCTTTACTATGTCCCAGTACAGATGATAATAGCCAGGTGGGGGCGCTGCTTACTATTTGTAAACATATGAGCTCACCTTGTTTTACATTTAACACATTCAAGGTAAGGCATCATTCTGCATTTTTTAAGCTTTAATTATGACCACATTTTTGCATTTGTTCTTTTATTTTGATGCGAAATTATGGTCTTGCCCCCCAAAAATCAAACATTTAGGAGATTTCTGATGCATAATCAAGCTTTCGCAGCACTCACCTGTGTCATCTTAATTGCTTTTTAACAATAGACGCATTGCTTCATTGGATTAGTTTTGTGTTTTCTGTGCACCTTGTTACTGCTTTAAATTTTCTGCTCAGATCTGACAAAAAATGCTGAGTGAAATCTGCCGCAGCCATGATGTCATCTGTTGGGGGGTGGGGGGGTTTGGAGTAACAGGGCTGTGCTGGAGTGAAAGGAAAAATCGCTTGTGTAAACAATCACCTAGTGGATGCTTGCATGATGGGGTGAGGAAGTAGAGGCAGTTTTACCATATCACATATGAACCCAAATAAAACATTTTACTGTATTTTTGTGTGATTTGCTGGATTTGTTTAAACTAAATGTTATGTGCCTCTTATAAATAAGAAGAATGTTATTGTTTTATTCAAATAATCTTAATTTTTTTTATATGAAAACCCCTTTAGTAATATAGAATAGGTTTCAATAAAAGTCAGAAAGTCTTTTAGTTATCGGTGCTAAAGTTAAGAAAAAAAACAGTGCTTTTTGCCTGTCTGCACTGGAATTCGCCTGCAGGTTCAAGTTTAAAAGCAGTCAGGACATAACTCAAGTTCATCCTTGTTCATAAAACTGCATTTCTCCTGATGCAATTGTTCTTCCCATTCTAGTATGATGAAAGAAACTAAGAACATTGTCATTAAATATGTTCAAATAGGACAAGTTTTACTGTTACCACTTGTAAAAGCAAACATCCTTATAAGTTCGCAATTGTGAAATCATATAATAAGATTGTTTCAATATCGCCACTGGTATTAACAGATTAGACAAGGGTAGAAGAATTAAGTTAAGACGAAGATTGAGTCAAAAGTGCAACTTTTTGTTTAACATAAATGTTTTCAGAATTCAAATGAAAAAAATACAATGAAAATGATTTTAAGTAATCTGGGTCCTGCGAAGTCTCGAGCTTTTAAATGTAGAATGTGAAGGAACTTTGAAAGGGATTTTTTTCTCTTCTCAGCCTCTTTCCCACTGAAAATGGCGGGTTTACACATGTTTTTTCAAACATGGGTCCATATGCCTGCACCATCATGCTGGGTTAGCATTGGTAATGTTACCAGTGCGACATAAATCACTAAAGTAAACAATGGAGAGCAACATGTAAGTAAGCCAAGGATTAGTAAGTGTGCGTTATTGTTTCACTCTATTAGCTTTACGAATCCCTCTTTCCAGTGCTGCACCATGTTTAACAAATGTTAAGAGTTGTTTCGGTTTGTTAGAGCAGAAGCGACTGGCGCGGTGTGTTGGCGCCCGTTCGTTGTGTTCAATGGTGTAATTTAGCGGGTCAGCCCAACTCTGGTGTTCCCACA